ACCCGGCTAGGTAAATTGGTAGCAAATTCGTATAAAGGAATAAAAATATTGACCTAAAATAACGGTAGGCCACCGCAAGTCATTGTTTAGGCCAAATATGCAGTTGACTATCACAGCGATGCTACGAATGGAGACGAAATCGTGGCGCATCTTGAGATTAATCAACGCAACGCTCTGTCCTTCATTCTATTGTACTGGAGGAGTGGTTGGTCATTCCTTATTAACGTTAATCTTCAATCCTTGTTTAACCTCTCTACACTTTTCGATCGTTCTTTGTATTCATTTACTATTCATACTTGCATACACGGACGGCCCGTCTTCACTAGTCATGCGGACCCCAGCATAATTTCCGTTTTTCGAAGTTTTGCTGGTTTAGCCATTGTAGTTCCCTGGAGTCCCGAGGCCCGAGGTCAGCCTGGCCAATGTCTGCCCCAAGTCTTCACCAGCACAGGCAGTCGCAGCGCTTGTGAATTGAGGGAGATTTACCACCATGCGACTTTATCAGGACAGTGGTGGAACTGGTTTACCCTTAGCTAGGCTTCCTGATGGAAACGCCGGACTCCTAAGCTTGGGAGACTGCCGGTGGGAAGAATCCCCCGCTGTACATCGCAGTCCGACACTCAGGAATACCTCCCAGCCAAGATGAGGCGGTAAACCATTGGGAGGAAAAGAATAGCAAATACTGCTTAAAATATCAGACAACATTGAACCCTCGCTTTTTCCCGCATCAGCTATCTTTAGTTTTAGAGTACGGAATTCATATGAGTATTTCCTCAAAGATTTAACAGACTTCCCCATCTAACTTGCCATTTAATATTTGTTTAAGTGGCAGTTGGCAGATAAGTTAACAAGAGGTTGCTATAAACTGGTCCGTTATCAAGAAGAATTGTAAGGGCCAAGCACAGTTTCTAGTTGACTAGTAGTTTAGTGGTTGGGAAAGATTTTCTTTCATTGGAATACCTCGACAGTCACGTTATCACTGTCCGAATTCGTCGCCAAAGGTAATTGCTTAACTTTTATGGTCAGAGCGACTTGCCTTTATGCAACCAGAAGTTCCTGCCATGGACGTGATGATTCCTGGCACTGTCACCGTTTTATTGTAATCTGGGTTTTGAATGGAAGTGATGAATTTCTTTCCAAATTGGGAAACCATGTTGGGACATCTTGCAATAAATACTAAACCAATAGAGAAACAAATAATGGGAAGTGAATTAAAATTACAGTAGGAGAAGGTGAGAAACTCTTTATAAAAAGAGAATAAGCTTGCAAAATGATCTATGTCCACTCCATGGTAACCATGTGGAGAGAAAATGCGCCATTGCTAAACCAGAATTCTTCAACAGTCATGTTCATGACCAGGATTAGAAGGTAAAATTCAGTGGGACCGAATCTGAAGCTTCTTTCCTCTAGATTGGAACACTCTGGATATGTTAATTGGATAGAGAAATGATTTTGTCTAAGGCTCTGTCCTCATACTTTTCACCTTTTCCTCATTCATTCAGTGATAGTTTTTGCACAGAGGAAATCACAATCAAACACAGTACCGAAGGGTGGTTCTAGGAAGCTCCAATCTTTCTTCTTAGTCTATAAAAGGAACATGGTATATCTCAATTCAGGTGCATCATTATACGATCTCAGTGCCCACTGGAGATTCTCTTTCATACCGAGAAGTGAATTTCCACGGAGGGGCATGCTGTGAACAGCAAAACAGGTTCTAGCATAGCCTCTACGCTGACACTTTGCGATCGGATCTTCTCAGCAATTGGATCCCTTCGTTAGATTGGCATATGCTAGACATTTTTTCTATTGAATCCTGTTAAAACAACAAGTGAAGCCGTTCCGGGGTTAAAAGTCCTATTGGGTACGTGTTGATTTAACCTGGTAATAATGACGTCCATCGCAACGCAAGATTAGATCATCTCTCGCTGGTTGTTTCATGGCCTGATAACGTTCGTGAGAAAGTCCAATGCGGTGGCTATAAAGCTGGTTTTTCTCTGGTCATGTTGATCTTCACGTATAGTTCCGAGATAACCATGCTCAGGTGTTCCCTTGTCGTGATCGCACAAGAAGGGTAAAGGTTGTGGATTGGAGGACAGTTGGTCACCTTGTAGCTAGGTTTTTCCAAGCACGGCGAGGATTCCTGGCAGGTTTATAGTTAGCATGGATAACCGAATGGAAATTTTGGACTCTTCAGCTTGGGTGAGCTTGTCCTTCGGAGAAAGCTCTGCTGTGTATTGCGGGTGGATGGTAAAGGATAAAATATAAAGCAAGTAAAGTACGTCTATCAGGAAAAACTCAACAAGAATACTGGTGTATCGATCTTTGGCATCAGTAAAAACATTAAAATGGAAAAAGACAGAAGAATATCAATCAATGTCGTATCAATAACAAAAAGATCTTTGGCATCTCCTAGGACCGACTGTCTATCGACCTCGGCATTGTCCAATAAATTAGTGTTTTATTCCTGAGCAGACTCGAAGTGGTCATTTGGCATCTCTGGCATCGTTTGACAATTTCACCTAGTCCATTACCTTCCTACTAACTCAACATACGAAACGAGCTATTATAGGTAATGCTTGCTTAGTTACTGGATACTTGGATGGCCCATCTTCACCCGTTGTGCGCGGAGTAGCATAATTCCCACTAACCGCAGATCTGCTGATTCAGCCATCGCGGTTCCTTGAAGTTCCGAGGTAGGCCTAGCCGAAGCGTTCCTCAGGTCGTCACAATTCCAAGTAGTCGCCACCTTTGCGGACTAGAGTGAGATTTGCCACCATGCGACTAATTTGATACCAGGACAGTGGTGAATCCTGGTATTGGTTTACTCTAAGCTGCGCTTCCTAATGGAAAAGCCGGACGCCTTCTCAGCTTGAAAGGCTCGGCTGGGGATGAATCTCACTGTTGTACAACGCAGCCCGACACCCAGGAACACTCCCTAGCCACGATAAGGCGGTAAACCGTTGGGAAGATAGGTAATGCTTACTGATCTTAACTAACTGTATGGTCATACATACCTTTGTGAATGACGTCAGTGGGAAATAAGTTCGCAAATCATGCGAAAACGTAGGAACCTCCGGTTCTAAACAACTAGATCATCCTTTGCGAAGCATAACGCCTTCTAGACAGCAAGAAAATCACACATGTGAAGTTAAGTTGTCACTGCTGATCTCCTACAAACCACGTTACCTGGAGTATAAAACTCTAAGCTAACGATGAAGCACAAGCTAATCCATTAGAGAAGCCTCTTCCTGGAGGAGCCGGTGGGGGTCCTGGCGCGGAGAATTCCACGTGCCTGTTGCTGCGGCGCGGTCTTCCGCAACACGACCACTATGGATTCGTCCGTGGGATTGTAGACGCTATTGCGTTGCGCTCCCACCGATGGACGTGGTTGAAATGTTTTTTTCTAGCCTGTGGTTGATACTGAACGGTGCTGAACAGGTTTTCGTCCGAGTTTTTGTCGATCTTTAGCTTTATTGACTCTGAGAAACTGGTAGACTTAAGTGTTTTCGATAAAAAAGAACATAAGGCTGCGTTTTCTTTTCTTTGCGCTTTTTCTTTTACCTATTTGTCGTTCATACTTTTCTTTCCTTTATCCAAAGAACTGTTTTGACTGAAGAAGATGACTGTGATAACTTTTTTATTGAGAGCACCTTTAGGACACCATTTTATCCCTTTTATGCTTCCACTGTGGTGAAAGCGTTTGGTTCTGCTATTGAATGTGACCTTTTACTTAATGAAAAGGGGAGAAAACCCCATCATGATCCCAGATACCACATGACAGGTTACTGCTTCACTCATTACTGTTGAATTTTTTCTTTGATGTTGTTTATTCCTCGTTCTTTTTGTTTTTTCTTCTTTTTTTACTCTTTTTTCCTTTTTGATGTCCAAATTTTCTTCAGCATATTGAGGAAGATTCCATAGAGTGTTACTCTTGAATATCTATGTCATTTTTATGGATTTCCTGAAAGTAAATGTCTCCGATAAATCGATCAGCAACGCCACTGCTGATTTCGTGTACTGAAGAAATATTGATTCCTCTGAATAGTTTCAGGGGTTCGCTGTCGCCTGATCAGCCCTTGCCCTTCATTTCGTTTTTCTTTCTTCCTTTCTTCTTTTTACAAGGAAAGCACGACTCATCATCATGTCTGATGGTGTTGTACAACGAAGAAGGAGAGTACAAGAGGAGGGGAGTTTCGTTTTTCCTAATAGTATTTCTTAACAGTAGCAATCTGGGTGTTCTTTTTTCCTTGAGTTAGAGTAACTAGGTCACCTTGCGTAAACGAGTATCTATACTTCTCTAAGTCCGTAGAGTTCAAAGAAATTGATTTTCTACACAATTCCGGTGTTGATAAAGATCTGTGTCGATGTATATGCGGATTGTTGTGGATAGTGATCGCGAAACGGAAGTTTTCCCTGGAATCTTTCCAGAATATCGATTTTTCATTTGTAGAACAATGGAGTTTTATCTAAGTAAAGTAAAAGGAAGCATCTTCCAACGGTTTACGGTCTCATCGTGGCGGTCAGGTGTTTCTGGGTGTCGAGCTGCGATGTATAGTGCAGGGATCTATCCACCCGACAAGGTCTCCCAAGATGTGAGGGAGTCCGGCGTTTCTATCAGGAAAACAGCTAAGAGTAAACCAACTCCAGGATCCACCACTGTCCTTGTATCGAACTAGTCTCATGGTGGCAAATCTCCCTCTGATCCACAAAGGGTGCGAGTGCCTGTGTCGGTGACGATCTGGGGCAGACTTTGGCTAAACTGACTTCGGGGCTCCAGGGAAGCACAATGGCTAAACCAGCAATCCTGAATGAACGGAAATTGTTCTGAGGCCCGCACAACCAGTGAAGATGGGCCATTCAAGTATCCAATTACCAAGCAAGAAGGAAGCAACTTACGGGATATATCTGTAATATAAAGTCTGGAGTTTATTAGTTCGGTTATCTGGTTTTGGTGTACTGGATATTTTTTTAATATTCGATTTTAGCCAGTGGCTGATCGAAGTGATGACAATGCAGATTCGCCGGCATCATCGGACCAGGTAGCATTATTTTCTTCTTACAAAGGTGTTGTTCCGGTGATAACCATTGTATCCGTTCTTCTAGCAGTCGCCGTCTTTTCGAAATGAATTCTTCTCTGCTGTTGTTTTGACTTTATGTTTTAGGAGGATAACGACAAAGGAACCCGGTTGACACTAATGGAACAGATTCTTTTATTAGGATTAAAAGACAGAGAGGTGTGTTTATATTTTATTACGAATTATTTGCTTTCACTTTTTCGCTTCCTTAACCACTAAGTGTTCTGTTTCATAGTTGCGTTCGATTCTTTGTACTACGATTAAGCTCCAAATGCATATGGTTTAATCCTAGTATCAAAAGGTAATATGGCTTAGCGTGCTACACGAAGCTGCCGGTTGTCCTACAATACAAGTTTGAATAATGCCAAAACCGAGGACTCCGGTTGGCAGACTCGTTTATCACTGTCTTAAAAAGCGAGGATTTGTGCCAAGATGTAAAGCTACTGGTGTAAAACTTCACGGGATCACACCCTAACGTCCTCCTAAGCTTAGAAAGTTGAAGAGGAACCAGAGAACTGCTTTCCTTTCGTTTACTCACTAGTTCTTCGTAACGGTTTTTTAAGGGATATACCTCCTTTTGGAATGACTGTATTTCTTCTGGTTTACGTGGTTGTATACTCATCGAGTTAGCACTTCGCGGTAGAATTCAGTTGGAGGGCAGTGGCATGCGCAAAAAGTCGTTATTGTCAAGAAAAGTGAGTAGTTTTTAGTAATTATTTATATGTATAAATGTTTAAGTTGTTACAATTACTCTGCGTTGTAGGTATCCGTAAAAAATAGTGAACAAACTGGTGACGTAATTCTTGATGAAGCCTTGAGACATATGAAAGAAACTAATCCACCGGAGACGGTGACTAGTTGGATAGAATATCTTAGTGGGGAGGTGAGATATCTTTGAAATATTTTGACTATTCTGTTCTGTAAACTGGTTCTTTAGACCTGGAATCCCTTGAAGCTACGGTACCAACTTCGCAATGTTCGAGAGAGGCTAGCTAAGAATTTAGTGGAGAAGGGAGTTCTAACAACTGACAAACAAAATTTTCTTCTCTTTGAAATTACGACTCATCCACTTTCCGACGGTAATCAGAAAACGAAACTGATAAAGGTGAAAACTCAGTTTTTTGGTTTTATTGCATTCAGGGTGTTCAGAAAGCCAACACTATTACTTGGATACTTGAGTAGCCTCTCCTCATTGGCTGTGCAGGCCCTGGCATAGTCTTCACTTTTTTCGCGAGTTTTGCTGGTTTAGCCATTGTTGTTTCATGGAGTCTCGAGGTTAGTCTGGGCAAAGTCTTCACCAGGTCGTCACCACCACGAGCAGTCGTTACCCCTTTGTGGATTAGAGGGAGAATTGCCACCATGCGACTAGTTTGATATCAGGATGGTGTGGTGGATCCTGGTATTGGTTTACTATTAGCTTGGCTTTTTGATAGAAGCGCCGAACTCCTCAGCGTGGGAGACCTTGCCAGGGGAAGAATCCCTCTGCTGTACATCGCAGCCCGACACCTATGAACACCTCTCCAACGTGAAGCGGTAAACCGTTGGGAGAGAAAGCCAATAGAAAAACTTTTTTATAATTATTCTCTTAACTTAGCGTTTTCCATTGTTTAGGAAGTCCAGGATGCCGTATTAGGTAAGTGGACGAACGACGTTCACAGAATGGACAAAAAGATGCTTTCACTTATCATTCTTGCTCATGCGTCTGACGTTCTTGAAAATGCATTTGCTCCACTAAGTGACCAAGACTACGAGGTAATTCTATGTGTTTGTAGATAAGGAAGTTTCTCCTGTTTATCCATCTATCCCTTTATCCCTTTTGTGTGCTTTGTTGACCATTCTGTATAGGAGCAGTCGTCCGCATATTGTATAGTAAAATAGTAGCACCACTTAGGTGAGTTAATTTTGCAGAAATCTCTTATGCGTAAGGAAATAAAATAAGTTAAGCGTAATTACCATAAATGTGGTCCCATCACCTCAAAAAAAAGTGCGGAAGTTGACTTGATAAAGGTTGAAGGGATGCTTATCAGCCATTTGTGATGTTATGTCAGCAAGACATGTTGGTTTATTGTAAGAGCATTCAGAACTGTAGTTCATTGGCGATTAGGAATCGCAGCTGAAAGATGTGTTGTGTTTTTACGTTGTTTCTTACATATTTCTTCTTGTGGTTAAGGTTGCAATGAAGAGGGTTCGATCTTTACTGGAGTTGGAATATGATGTACAAGCGCAGAAAAAAGGGAACGAATTGATGTGGGCTGTGTTTGAGGCGTTCAGCAAGTAGTCAGACAACGGGTATGTGCTTTTTGCCTTCGCTTGCGCAGTTTTTGTTTGAGATTTTATCTGCCTGCTACATTTGGTGTTACAGTCGATCCACATTGGATAAGTTAGGAATAATGTTATTTTAATACACATAAATTACTAGTTTTGGTTCCTTTTCAATTTAGGTTCGTTGGACGTAGATCTGCACATTGCTAAGTTTAATATTTGCAGTATTTAAATGTCTTGAGGACGATATTAGTGAACCAATATTTATCGTCTGTATGAAATTTTTTTGTACCAATCATTTATGCTCGTACAAAGGATTTTTTATGACAATCATGTATGCCTATTGATACGACAAAATATTGATGTTGATGAGATTTTGGAATCGTTGTTATATTGGGCTTTAGAGCCTACATGCAGTCGTGTATTTTCAACTGTGATATGAGATTTATTTTCGCAGAGTTTTTTGAATGTAGAGATCTGCACTATGATGAAACTTTGGGGAATGCGCTTCCAGTTTGCTGTGCTTTTTTGTTATAATGGGAAAGAGCTTTTGATGACATAACTAGGTCTTCTTTTCTTCATATCATGGCGATAAATTTACCCATAGAATAATGTGCCACTCTGTTTTTTTTTGTTTTGAGTACTATTTCGAGAAAAACGGCTATCAGTACCTAAACATAAATCTGTATAAGAGAGATAAATGTACGTCATGAAGGGTTGCGTAAATATAGGTTTTAGCATGCATTTGTGAGCTTGAAGAATTCTATAGATGTTTTTACAAGTTATTCTTTACAATTTTGGTTTAGTTATATCGAGGTTTTGTTTTATTTGAAATAGTAATTGCTTCTATTACATTTCCATTTTAATTATTTGCAATGTTCATCCCCAGTGGTCCGCATTTTCTATTTTCTTCTGGTATTTCTGCTGGCATAAGAAGTACTGACATGAATTGAATAGAAACTATGCCGGTATAATTCCCAAATTCGCTTTGAGCGTTCGTAGACTTGTTCTTAAGTTTATTAAACAAGGTTTGGAAGCTGTTAATACGTAAGGGACAGTTTGGGCATAGTGTCCATTTTTAGTTCAGTATGTTACAGGAATTGTTTCCACATTATGTTTATTTATTCGATAGCAAATCACCACTACAGGAAAGGTAGGATTAGAAAAGTCGTTCTCTGCCTTTGATGATTTACAAGTAAACTTTCTTTTAGACAGGTTCATTGACATTCGATTAATCACAACGACGTTGAGATATTTTCGAAACTCCGGACCGCAGGTGTTTGCGGTGGAGAACGAACCCGCTATTACCGTTTCCGCGGGTTAACGCGTTCACCATCACACCATGCTGGTCTTTCGTTTCACCTGTCGCTCGGCTAGTTTTGTCGATATTGATCTGGGGAACCCAAGTCGGAATTGAACCAAGTTAAGCTGAGGGTCCAGTCGATGGCAATGATCTATAGAACTAGCTGAGAGACAGGCGAAGCGAAGGACCTGCATGGTGTGATGGTGAATGCGTTAGTCCGTTGAAAGGGTAATGTCGCGTTCGTTTCCCACCGCAGACACTTGCGGTCCGGAGTTTTGCAAATATCTCAGCATCATTGTGGCTGTATCACACATAATATCTTGCCGTGTAAAATTGTAGCAGGTAGTCAATAAAAAGTTGAAAAATCAGTTAATCGTTGTTTCATTGTAATCGCTATGATGAATCATAGCTATTGCATGGGACGTGTAGGTTTAAAAAGTACCGAAATAGACTCGACTTGAGCTGGAAAACCCTTCGAAATACAAAAACAATGTGTTTGGAAGATGGAGCATAGTGACACATAGTTAATAGTGGCACATTATACTTTCACGTGATTTCTGTGCGGTTGGTCTCTACGTGACATACTTAGTGGAAACCTCATAGGAAGCGGCTCTGAGGAAGGCGAAATCCGCCGAAACGTCAGCTTAATCGTGAACAAAGAATAATAACACCTCGCGTTTGCTCAACAAAAATACGAAGAAAATCACATAGTTAATAGTAGCATACATATCGCTCATAGAGCCACAGAACTCTATAGAATGATAGAGCAAGGTCTGTTCTATAATCCAGTCATGTTCGCCAACCCATCAGGTCCTGTGGTTAAAAACCATTGGTTTGTTGTCAAAAAGCAATCTGTAGGCGGGTTTGGAACAGGAGTTGCCCGTCATGAATAGGTTTTGTTTTGTTGATTTGTTAGACGATCATTACATTTCATATGCGTACTTTCAGATTACATTGTTTACGAGACATCTATGCGTGTTGGAATCCGTAATATTATTCCGTGTGCTGACAACTCAGCTGGAGTTTTCATCACGTATGTACTCCATTTATAAGTTGTCATACTTATGGATGTGAGAGATCACTATGCATTTACGACACATCCAGTCGTATTTTAAAGTTTCTGAATATATGTAGTCACGGCTTTATTACTCTTTCCTCTTCTGGTCTACATAGGCTCTTTACGTCCTGTATATACTGTGCCCTTCTACTCAACATCATGGTCGTTCAGCTACTACTGTTAGTTCCACTCCATTGTCACCCGATTGATTGGTTTCTATGCTAACCTCATTCTAGCGACATACGCCACTGTGATAATTCATTCGTTTCAACTTTTTTTCTCCTACTTGCAATTATTTAGAACCATGTGCGAATGAATGAGTATAGCTTTTTTGGGTATTGGAATTTTTTGTTTACAACTACAAACATAAATAAATATTAGCTTTCTAAAGAGAGTTTTCTTACTAGCTTCGGAATAAGAAGTATGTCTAAGGTAAGGGAAGTGTATTAAGCAAAATCGGAGACTATTTCGCGTGGATTCGTGGAGGATTTGATGTGCTTAATAATACTATGTATACATTCTATGCTACAAATAGGTCTTGTTGTTACTGTCTCCGACCTCCATTGCATATTAGGTAATTTCCCGATCAAAGTTCTACGTATTGCTAGTATGGATTTGAACTTGCTACGATTGACTTCGTGTTCATTGAAGAGTAGTTCTTCACTTAGAAACGTTCCGTATTAACAACCGACTCGAATAAATAATAAGTGAGAAGGTGTGTTAATGTAAAAAGGAGCATGACATAGAAGGTTTTTGCTGCAATGATTTACTACTTGTCGATGAAGTTATGCTTTTTAGGCTTTGACGTTCCACATTGCTTCAATGACGCATTACATGCATGGTTGCCATCGAAACGACTTAGAGATTGGAGCTAATTGAGTACTTACGGGAATCCTACTTTTCTATTGATTTTGGTAGTGACACTTCTAGTGTTTCTTTACTAATAGTGGGAAACATGAAGATGGAACACATTTCCAGTCGCATGAGGCTTTGACCTGAGCCCTTCTGAAATACGAGGTACATCGCGCTCTATTCATTATATGAACGTTTACGGCATTCGAAAAAGTTTGACCTAAAAGTCATATAAAAGGATAAAAAGCATGGGACTCTCGTCGTTGATCAATCTCTTAGGGATGCGCCGTGCATTTGACTTCATTAAGCATCGTTTGGAGGTGGTCGAATGCACATGTGGCATTTACAGTGACTCGCTGTGGCTTACTGATGTATCGAGCCAGTGCTTCTATCCTGCCAGACAAGTCTGGTACTAACTTGGTAACCTCGGAGAGATAAAAGGTTTGGTGGGCTTGGAGCCTGGGGATCAATCTCATGTGTATTACAAGGTACCCATAATCCCTCGAGGACCCTCGCCCTTTAGAAGTCACATATCAGAGGGATTTATGATGAAATTCGTTTAAACCCATGTTTTCTAGTAGTACTAACAGTGTTTTATGCAAAAGAAAAACGGTGTATTCACTTATCTAAGCATTCATTCCATACATTTAAGAACTTATAATGCGCGAGCATTGAGAGCACCGAACTGCTCCATCATTACGCTTTTTAAGGATTTCTTAGGGTGCTTATAGCTTAATGTCTTGAAGATTCACGTGCGGATTTATTTCCGAAGGCTGTTATCTCAATGCATTCCGATGGTGGAGGGCATTATGCCTGAAGACAAAGTGGTAGAGGAGTAGTTGTAGTGCCATCTGACAGTCAGAAGTCATCAAAAAATTTCCTTGTCTTTTTTGCCCAGAAGTGGAAATAGTGTCCGGTTCACTGGTGTCTAGATATTTATCGTATCTATTCCACAGAAAAACACCTTTGTTCCAGTCTACTTACGTTGCAAACTGGTCTTCTCAGTAGAAGAATGTGCAAACTTATGTTTGGAAGATTGCAGTCATCGATTCATTCTCGGTATGATGGAAGTGTCGGTTACCAGTTGGCATCAAATCGGACGTATATTTGTATTTGTAAGTGAATTGTAAGCTCTCACTAACGGAAGATTATGTCAAGAACTTGATAAACGCGTTTCAAAACGAAGCAAAGAAATTGCGACCGATTTCGTTTGACTATTTTCACTTGTGGCAATTTTTCTGCTTATCCGTGTGTAGTTCCGTCTGGGTTTGAGAAATAAGCTATTATATTAGTTTGATGGTGAACCGGTTTAAACAAGTAGAATAATACTTATCCTGATATTTGGAACGTTTAATGTCATTTCGTTCTTATAACGGACTGGTAAGAGCTGGCGTAGAGTAAACGCGGAGTTGTGGATTCGATCTTGCCCCTAAGCAAGCCAAGCTGCATGTCTCTTCGGGGTGAGGAATCGTTGTGCCATCGAGTCGAATCGAAAAACCACAATCACAAGCACGAGCGATTGTGAACAATCGAGCCGAGGCAATCCGGCTTTGAACAAGACGACGACGTTGACATGTTAGCCGAATAAGACCTGTTACTGGCATCGTGTGTTAGCTTACTAATCCAAGAAAATATTATTTGTGCCGAGGTTAAATAAAAGTCGGCTTTAAGAGTGTTAATTTAATACACTGTTCGGCCACCACAAGTTACCGTATAAACCAAGGATGCATTGGAACTCCCATACGATGTTACGAATGGAGTTGAATGCATGGGTCATCTTTATGTATCTGCTAGACGTCCTGCACTTTATCCTTAATCGACTACTTTATCTAAGTTGGAGACCAACGAAATGTGTAAAAATGTGGGTCGGATTGGTGCTTAAATGTGTCATAAACAGCACTATTTAGTCTTTTTATTTGCTACAATTGATTACTACTATCATTCTGTTAACGTATTAACGTCACACTTTTCATGGTTGCGGTATTTAAATTAATGTTTATATCGTCTCACTGCTAACGCAGATGGGAAGGCTTAGTTTCCTCGAACATAAACCTCATAAAATTCGAGTATTAGTTGACTGGTTGCCAGCAGTAGTTGTACGAAATTCGACGTTTTCAATACTAAACGAACGAATCCGTTTTCAAGTGTAACCATTGTGTATGTCAGGAAACCCATCAGTAGTGGAGTGAATATCGCTGAAATGTAGATGATCAAGTAGATTCGGAGATCGAAAACGGATGGCATAGTTCAAACCGTTAGTGAATCTTACTTCCACCGAAGAGTTAAGTAAAAGCGAGAATAGTCGCTATTTTGGAAGAACCTAGTCACAAGGCGAGATTCGTTCCTTCGTACCACCACAAGAGCTGTTGATCGCCAGGCGATGATGGCGACGTGGGAGCAGTCTTTCCCAATCACTAACATACTAGTTAAACGGAAATCTTGTGGTGCCACTAATAGTTCGTGAAGATGGAAAATCGTCCGGATATTCACCTATCAAGGTAAGACTTCAAGTGGAGCTTATCATAATATATCGTTGAAAGAGTTTTTCATATCCGTTGATGCGGTAGATATTAATTTAAAGCGCAGTTTGGATTGCTGTGAGCCAATGATTCTGGCTAATAATGCCATTTAATGGATTGCTAGGAAGCTTTCATTACGTCAGCATTCTCCACTTCCATCCACTGTTTAAAAGGAATACAAATATCAGCTGTAATTTTACTCCTTTTTCAAGAGCAAGCTGACCTTGCGGGGGATTTCTTCCTCAGCCGTAAACTTTACCTTTCCAGACACTGAGGAAGGCGAAATCCGCTGAAACGGCAGTTTGTTCTTGAATAAAGAATAGAATAACACCTCATGTTTGCTCAAGAATATGGGGAACTATTTGATCAATGCCGAGGGTAATAGAAAGTCGGTCGTGGCAATTATCAACTGTTATTCACAATAAAGGATAAAACTCTCGCCGTTGATCAATTCCTGAGGGATGAGTCATGCATTCGATTTCATTAAGTATGAGGTGACTGAATGCATATCTGGCCTTTACAATGACTCGCGGTGGCCTACAGATGTGTCGAGCCAGTGCTACTATCATCCCAGACAAGTGTGGTACCAATTTCCCGACCCCGGAGGGACGGAAGGCTTGGTGGGCCACGGGCGCAGGGACCGATTCAACGCCTCCAACCACTATGCCATACGCGCCGTTTACTCACAGCAGAGCTTCTCAATTACCAGTCTGTTCGCTTGCTAAGTGTGTTGTCTACAAGCTGTCCATGAAAATTATCCAGAGGCTGATATTATCTATTTTTGTATCTAACTTTATATAAGTTTGATCACCCAAGTTCGAGGTTTTTACATCTCTCCGAATCAACTAGTAGGAAGACCGAGCAAAGGATTAGTCGCTAAAAACACACCTCCCTCTGATCCACATCGTGGTGAGGACGTGGATACACCCTTGCAAGGTTATGTCAGGACTCCAGGGAGGACGAAGTTGCACGACCAGCGATAGGCCAACCTCAGTACCCCGCACACTAGGTGCTCCCGTCTATGACGTCAGGCGGTGAAACGACTGGTTTGAGGCCAGAAAATCTCGAGTTACGCAGGACGTTATTGGAACCGGATCTGACGAACACATGCACGACACGCCGTGGAGATTGTTTCTTACTATACACGTATAATGCCAGAACACTCCCCACAAACGCGGATTTTCACGCCCTTCTTGTAGCCGCAGATCGAATCAAATTTCATGTGATCGCATTAAAAGAAACAAAAACTAAGAAGACCGACACACGCCAACTAAACAACGGGACTCTTTTGATCCGTGGAGAAAAGGTCCCGTCACGAATTGTCGGTGGCGTAGGCCTTGTCGTCCACCCGTCCATTGTCCATCTCGTCGACTCATGCATGATCCTATCTCCTCGCATAGCCGTCCTCCGTCTTTAACTGTTGCATCATAAGAAGATCACTATCATCAACTGCTACTCACCGACCGACACAGTTAATGAGTACGAATTAAATGCGTTCTACTATCAGTTCGAGGAAGTTATCCGCAATTATAAAGAATATCATAAATTTGTTGTCGGAGACTTCAACGCCAGAATAGGAAAGGCCAACGAGAGCAAATACAGGGTCAGAAATTTTGGATTAGGAGAAAGAAATGAGAATGAGGACCGTCTCGCAGGACTCCTGTCAGCAGCACATCTCTTTCATGGGAACTCGTTTTTCCAGAAGAAAGAAAGCCGCCGCTGGACATAGGAGATTCCCAACGGCATGACTCATGCAGAGATCGACCATATTCTGACAAACAGAAGATGGTGCCTATTGACACATCGGTAGTCCTGTCATTCTATACTGGTTCCGATCATCGCCTACTTCGCGCGAAGATTCGATTCAGCCGCGAGCTGGAAAAGAACTCTCTTCATCGACGACGAGGAAAAAGTTTAGCTATATACGACGAGAACATTTTGAACGAAGTCTTCTCCAAACGTGACTGGCAGATTAAAGAAGACCTAACCGAAGACTACGAGCTGCTTGTCGGTGGACTGAAAAGCTGTGCGAGTTAGCTTCAGTTCCTCAAGCAAGAAGATCGAATCGCATCTCCGTCACTATCAAGGAGTTACTCGAAGAGGGAAGGAAACTGAAGCTTGATCCTACTGCAACACGTTCAACATGGCTGGTAATAAATACCAGCTGCAGAAAACTTTGCAGGAAGATCTACAACGAAGAAAATACTGGAAGCAGCAGAGAAAAGAAGCAGTCTGGAAAAATGCCGTCGGGACTTGTGTGATTATAATGTTCTGCTGTCAGCCCTGATGAACGAAGATGGGATCGTCAAAACTTCCAGCCATGCTATGGAATTAATAGCGGAAACGTTCTACACCAACCTTTTCCGTTCCACAATCTCCGTCCCGAGCCCTAATCCCCTCGATGGAGAAAAACCACTTGGAATTCTTCCGTCGGAGGTTCGAGTTGCGATAGAAAGCATGAGAAGAGGCACAGCTCCAGGACCCGATAATATCACTGCCGATTTCCTTAGAGCTGGAGGCCACAATTTACATGTAGCTCTCGCAGATCATTTGACAGGCTACCTTCAAGAGGAGAAAATCCCAGACCAGTGAAGGACGTCGCGCACGGTTGTCCTGCCCAAGAAAGGTGACCGAAGGGATCTTCGTAACTATCGTCCCATATGCTTGTTAAGTGTACTGTACAAGCTGTTCACGAATATTATCCTCTCGCGCATATCAAGGGCATTGGATGAGGCGCAACCAGTCGAGCAAGCAGGATTTCGAAAACGATTTTGCTGCATGGACCACACCCAGACCGTGTCCAGAGTCATCGAATTTGTGTCGGGAATACCACTTGCCTCTAGTCCTAACCTTTGTCGACTATGAGAAAGCGTTTGGCAGTGTCGAAACGAATGCAATCCTATCAGCGCTCGTCGACCAAGGAGTGGACCCGTCCTACATAAGGACTCTGTCTAACTGTTATCGAAACTGCACTACGAAAATACAGCTTTTCCATCGACCTCTTACAATACCCATAGGAAAAGGGGTTCGACAGGGCGACACAATATCGCCAATGCTGTTCAGTGCCGCACTGCAGTGGATAATGAAGTCAGTCGATTAGGATGAGGAAGGCATACGTATTAATGGAAAATTCCTATCAAACTTTCGCTTTGCCGACGACATTGTCATTCATCTTCTCAAGAAGTACTAGCGAAGCAGAGGTGTTGATCAACAAGCTCAACGACGCGGGAAAAAAGATCGGATTTCGCATAAATCAAAAAAAGACCCAGTTCATGAAATACCCATGGTGCAAAGGCGAATAAATTGAATTGGATGGCTCTCTCATTGCAGAGACCACCTCGTACGTTGACCTTGGGCGATTAATGAACATGGAAAACAACACGAGCGAGGAACTTAAATGATGTCTTCTGAAATACCAGCGGTACTCTCAATAAGTAGCCGGAATGCGAAGTTCTGACCTTCGAAATCTGTCACATCTTCGAGATCCAGGAGAATATACATCGACAGCGAAACATAGATGGGCAGGTCACATAATGTGAAGAACAGACGGCAGATGAACGAAAGGAACAGTAAAGTGGTCTCCAAGAGAATGCAAACGTCCTCTTGGACGACCACCTACACGTTGTGGGGACATGTTCGTAAACAAAGTTAATCAGCTGTACCCGCAGCTGCAGTTGTATTACAGATCACGGTATGAGACTCGCACGCGCTACCATGCTCGAACAAGGCCACCACCATGGAATACGATTGTGAGAGAAAAGAACGAATAGTGTATGTGCTGGGGTCCGCAGAGCTCGTGAAGACGGACCGTCCAAGTATCCAAGTAAGTAAGTAAGTAACTTTATATCAGGAGCAGGTGTGTGAAATAGTAGGTTCATCGTGGATTCTGTTGTATAGATCATAACCAAGTCGTAATTAAAATGATAAGAGTCTGTCAGTGATAGTACCTGTCTATTATCTTTTGTTGACTGAGGAAAAAAGCATTCGACAGCGTCATCGAAGTGAATGCCATCCTATCAGTGCCCGCCGATCAGTAACTGGACCCGTATTACATAAGAACTCTATCCGACTGGCATTGAAAATGTACAAGACAATACCGATCTGCTATTGCTTTGTTAGCGCTTTCGTAAAAAAACAAAAGGGAGCGGACATGTTAACACTACCTGGTGCTGTTTACCAATTTTCACAAAACGGAGTAGTTCGATTGTGACGTGAAAAATATATAAAATATTGATTGATAAGGTATCGAAACCGAAGGGAAATCCAATTCATGAAGAAAAAACCGTGATGCGAAGGAAATTGTATCGATATGGGTGGCTTTCTGACTACAGAGACTACCATATCACTTGTTTATATAAAGCGCTTATGGAACGTGGAAAATGACGTGAAAGGCGAATACTGCAGAAGAAGAAAAGGAGGTTACATGTGAGTGACATTTCATCTAAGAATTATGACGCTTCTCTGACGGAGTTTCTAAACGGCGCTTTCTGGATTACACTCGACACATATGGCATCAAGTCGAATATTTGAGACCATTGAAATTATCTTCAAAGTCTATGAGAACGTAGTTGGAAACGAATATAGGTGGTCTGGTCATGGGATTTGATGAGTTGATAACGGATAGAGCAGAAAAAGCGTGGGGTTTACCTCGACAGGAAGCAAGCATCTTTGATTGACTACAAGATAGGAATCCGTTTGCTTGTGGTTCTCGTTAAGCAATTTGTGGATTTCGCTAATTATCAAGCAGACCATTACTATGAACGGTGTTTCTGACAGGAGGGACGAGAGAGGTTTAAAAGTATGCTAATGCTATCTCAACTCGTCAGTGCGATTTGTCAAAATATCAAAATACCCAAAGATGATAATGTTTCTTGCCGGGTCTTCACGTTGTTGTTTTGTTGTTCTCATAATCCCCAAAGGCTTAACAATTAATATTTAGGAACTGGTGAAACTAGTCCTACAGATTTTCACTCTCTTCGCGTATTTTCGGTTTTTGGTGGAAACTTTGCGTCATGTTCGTAAAACTCAGACTTCTACAACAGCAGCTCTATGTAAAAATAACACGCCAATTCCACACCCTACGAAATACTACTCTTAAGAGGGTGGGAACAGTTGCTTTATAATTAGAATTTCTTCGCCTAGTACTCAGCAATAAAGGCAGCATACTTTTTGAACTGTTTTATGTGATCTAACGAAATTGTAATTTGCATTTTTCCTTATCCTTGTGGGAATCGGTCTATCGTATTGGAATCGATTGCTCGACAGACTAAGGCATTCTAACCGGTGTGCGAATCGCTGCGGTTCTGGAAGAACTGGAGTTCCAATCGGTAAACATTTACCAGGTTCAGAAACTTCCTAAGTAAGCAGATCTTGGAATTCCTCATCAGTGGTATCTCGACAGTGGTGTGAAAATTACGCTGTACCAGTATTGAATAGAAGATAGACCATTTAAGTGTCTAAGTAATTGTCTTTCCGAATGACCATACACTCTTAGTTACCAGCATTAGTATGTTTCCGACAGCTTCAATGAACTAGAATTCTTCTCTTCAAATCCTCATACCGACACGGTAAACAAAAAGTGTTATTTTGGAGGGAAGTTGCATAATTTGGCCGGTAAAAAAGGAATACTGGGACAGAAAGAGTTAAAAGCTTCTGGAAGTCTAAAAAGCTTCTGGAAATCTATTGAACAGTTAAATATTCAAATTTCTAAGCCGAAACATCAGAATTTTTGATTGAACTCACCCATGCCATACTGCAAACGTACTGTCGGCTCACGTTCACGCACAAACTGCTTCAAATCATAACGACCATCGATGTTGTAGTACCTAATTTGAAGTATTGTTTTTAGTATTTTTCACTGGTAGTCTTATAATTGTAGTTTTAATAATTTTAACTTATTGTGCCTGACTGCCTACTCTTTTTAATGGCAGGGTATACATTGTGAAATATAACTTCAATGATGCTGAGATATTTGCAAAACTTCAGACCGCAGGTGTATGCGGTGGGAAACGAACGCGCTATTGTCTTTTCCGGGGAGTAGCGCACTTCACCACCACACCACGCGGGTCCTTCGTTTCGCCTGTCTCTCAGCTAGTTCTATCGATCTTTTGCCATCAGCAATCACCGGTCAGCGGGATTGATTTGGGGGCCCAAATCGGCAACGAACCCAGTTAAGCTGAGGCTGCAGTTATAATCACCATTTTAACTTATTACTTACTGCCTACTCTTTTTAACGGCTGGGTAATAGGTTAAAATTGTGATTATAACTGCTGCCTCAGCTTAACTGTGTTCGTTGCTGATTTGGGCCCCCCAAATCAATCCCGCTGACGGATGATTGCTGATGGCAAAAGATCGATAGAACTAGCTGAGAGACAGGCGAAACGAAGGACCCGCGTGGTGTGGTGGTGAACGCGCTACTCCCCGGAAAGGACAATAGCGCGTTCGTTTCCCACCGCATACACCTGCGGCCTGCACTTTTGCAAATAACTCAGCATCATTGAAGTTGTAGTTTTAATAATCATGATTTAGATTGTTGCATGTACACCAGGACTACGGAAAGAACAACGAAGCCATTAGAAAAGGATAAGAAGGATAAAGCTCTCGACGTTGATCAATCTCTGAGGGATGCGCCATGCATTCGAATTCATTAATCATCGTTAGGAGGTGATTGGCCTTTATAATGACTCGCGGTGGACTAACAATGTATCGAGGTGCTATCCTCCCAGACAAGTCCGGTACCAGTTTCCCGACTCCGGAGGAATGGAGAGCTTGGTGGCCAGGTGAGCCGGGGTCGATCACATGTGTGTGTGTTGCAAGGCGCCTCTGGCCACTGCGCCGCACGCGCCCCTATAGATGGAGTAGAATCTCATCAACACTAGAAGCCGTTTCTGATTGTTTGACATCGATCTACAGGTGAGCTTATAACCCATCCCACCATCAAGTTCATTCAAAGGTCATCCAGTTCGAGAAGAGCGAAATTTTCATCGGAAGGACATAGCTGAAAATAAATCTGTGCCAGGAATCACCATTTTCCTGGAAGAGATGTAGTAGCAAGACGAAAATCCTCCACGAAAGCCAAGACCTTTGGTTAGCCACAGGCAGGGAGCGCCTTGTTGTATCCAGAGGGATCCAACGAAAATAGGACTTGCCTAATCAGGAAGACACCTACGAAATAAAAATTATATTCCGCCCCCATCCCATAGAATTCGTGGTGATAGGGTAGTCAAGTAAGTGGTAATAAGAATTGATAAGGGTACTTATTAACTTTTAGAATTTCAAGTAAAACGGAGAGTTGAGGAAACGTTGAGGAGAAGCTAGGAAGTAACTGTCTTGCACTCTTCACTTCAACATTTTTTAAAATGTTTCATAGCCCTGTTTTTCTTTCTCACTCTTATTTTATTATTGGTGGTGGATTTGTTAGCTTACCATCGCTTAGCGATGTGGAACAGATTGAATCCACAAATGACTGAGTATATCAGAAACGTTAGCATACTGAGCGATCCTGACTCTGAGTAGATCATGAGAAGCTGAATTAGAAGGACTTAAGGATGTGATAAGTCTAAATTCTTAAAGTTGACTGCGAATCTACAACTAGTTCTCTACAGTCTCTCTAACCAGATCTTCGTTGACGTTGTTTTTGATGTTATTGATCGATGGCTGAAGGTTCGGCGATCCGCACGTAACATCACGGCTCTGAGGAAGGCGAAGTCGCCGAAACGTCAGCCATCGATCAATAACATCAAAAACAACGACAACGACAACGAAGATCTGTACCAACCTCGCGTCAGCTTAAGAAGATCAGTTTATAAGATCTCATAAATAAATATGTATTGATAAATCGCCGACGTTTTTGTCGGAAGGCGATATGTGCTGCGCAGAGGTTATGTCCATTGTCACCGCCATGTTGTTGAATAAAGGACAGGATGGATATAGGTATGTATAGGAATGGATGTGAATATAAAGAGTAGTAAGTGTCATAGTCAACGACTATTGGTCCGACAAAGAACAAGTAACACTTTTTTGAAGCAACATGGCTTAGCAAGTGGAAGACAAACATACCTTAAAAATATGTGCTTACTCAAATGCGATTGAGACTTTGCTGGGGACCGACGAGGCTACTATTTTTTTATGGACGGAAAATGTGACAGGTAAGCGATGAGGTATTTTTTAACAATAGCGTGTGCTTCCGTACAATGCTTTATCATTTCGGCATATTAGAGGGATACTGCTTCCTGTCGGACTCCGATATACATAGGGCTCATCTAGACAGGATCTTCTTAGCTATAAAAGAATCACCGCTCTCTTGGAAACCTAATCGTATGGCAGAAAATCTCCGTCTTAACGATAGGGGAGATCAGTACCTGTGGTGAGAATTTGGAAAGCTTTAGTTGGCTTCCTCCAAGCTTGAGCAAAGGATAATCATGTTTGATCTGCAAGTTACCTCTCAATTGTAGATTGTGCAATAACCTCCGCTATCCTTATGATGACAAACCATTTAAGTATCAAGGTAAGGAAGTGTTTGCTAAATTTCTATCGATGGTTGGTTTTTTTTGCATTCAGCAGGTTAACGTATATGAATGGTAGAGGAAGTAATAACGAGTACTGTCTAACGCGGGAACAAACAAAAAAGTCATGAACATACCTCGATAACGCAACATATCATCTGAACACTTCTTGCCATACCGACCATCACGGGCAAGTCATAACTGTCAAGCATCGACGATGCACTTGACGGTGGCATCTGGGTGAAGACAGAAATTTATTAATATTTCCGTAGTAACTGTCAGTAAGCTTATTGTGGACGTCGATGACAGCGTGGGAGGAGTTGGGCTTTGGTGAGCACAGACCTTTAATGGCATAATACACCACTGATAATGTTATATCTTTTTATTTTCTGCCTACTATAATTTCGCGGCAGGGTACTAAGCGAAATACAGCCACAACGTTGCTGAGATATTTGCAAAACTCTGGACCGCAGGTGTCTATGGTGGGGAACGACTGGGTTCTATGCCGATTTGGTCGCCCCAGATCAATCCCGCTGACGGGTGATTGCTGTGGCAAAGATCGATAGAAATAGCTGAGAGACAGGCGAAACAAAGGACTCGCATGGTGTGGTGGTGAACGCGCTACTCCCCGGAAAGGACAATAGCGCGTTCGTTCCCCACCATAGATACCTGCGGTCCAGAGTTTTGCAAATATCTCAGCAACGTTGTGGTTGTATTACACCACCGATAGTTTTAAATGATGCATCTATTTTGGCTTATTGTTAAATTAAGGAATGTGTCCAAAAAGAGATGATACAAGGAGACCTTTCCACGCCTCGTTGTCTTCATTATTATAGACTTCGCTCAAAAAATGGCTCATTGGTTGGCAATCATTTTGATGTTGATGGACAATTTCAGAGGATACTATAACTCATTTTTGTATTACCCTTGATGTCATTTACAGAAATATTGATAACAGTTAAAAAAGAACAGCGAAACCGATGAGATAATGATTGAGGTCCATGCATCAGCTTGAAAACAATCCGTTCAAGTCTCTAAGTAAATGACAGTGACCACGCATTCAATCTTCCATTGTAAAACCGAGCGATCGATTTCTAAGATTTTTGAAAAATCAGGAAATGGATAACACAAAATATTTGCTTAATAACCTGAACCCATTTCTCGATGACAGCGAATTTTAACGCGCAATATATCCTGTCAACCAGCGGATAGGGGAACAGCAGAACTCTCTACTGCCCTGCTTGCAACCGAACTTGATCAATGAAATTTTCTTTCATCAGGAAGTTGAATATCTTATCGATCGATTTCACGGATTTTCACTTTGTCATCTCCAATATCAATTATCTTCACAGTTACCCGTTAGATGAAACAGTACTTAGGTTTATGGTTTCTTTGTCTGTTTTGACATTTCTGATTACGTCAGTGATGAAATTATTTTAACCATAATCTTTAGCAGTAACTAGCAGTGGCGAGTAACTATGTCAAACCCAGTTAAAAAATAGTTGAAATCGAAATTACAATAAAGTAAGTGCTGATAAAAGAGTGTCAGTAAAAAAAGGATAAAGCTCTCGGCGTTGATCAATCCCTGAGGGATGCGCTATGCATTCGACCTCATTAAACATCGTTTGGAGGTGATTGGATGCATATGTGGCCTTTACAATGACTCCCGGTGGCCTAGCAATGTATCGAGCTAGTGCTGGTATCCTCCCAGACAAGTTTGGTACCAATTTGCGCTTCCGGAGGGATGGAAGGCTTGGCGGGCCTTGGGCGCGAGGATCGATTCCACGTGTGTGTTGCAGGGCGCCTCCGACCACTGCGCCACACGCGCTACAGAGTGTAGGTAGTTATTAAAATATTAGTCCTTCATTATTTCTCTCAAGGAGCATAAAAGTAGTGGAACTTCGTTGCTGTTCCTTTCTCTATTGGCTTTTACATACCGTCGTATTGACTATGATACTGAGAATTAACTGGACGAAGGCGGCTGGCGCTAAAACATCGTTTTATCCCACTATCATCTGATTCACGCAAACTAAACGGCAGCTGACCTGATGATGCATTCCTCAAGCGCAAAAACTAAAGTTCCAAGTAAAGTATCGATTTTTCTTCGGTGGTGAAGTGCGCTACTCTCCGGAAAGGATAATAGCGCGTTCGTTTCCCACCGCATACACCTGCGGTCTGAAGTTTTGTAAATATCACAGCACCATTGAACTTATATTTCACAATGAATACTCTGCCGTTAAAAAAAGAGTAGGCAGTAAATAATAAGTTGAAATTGTGATTTCTCTTCGATTTTTTACAGTAAGATAAGATATAAGAGAAAAGTATGGGACCATTTCGATCGAAGTTTTGTTAGGCGGTATTTCTCAAAAAGCGTAACCTGTTACCTTTGCAATAACAACTTTACGCTTTGAATTCTTGAAAGCAAGTAATTTGAGCAATCAATAAAGTCGTTTGGTAGGTTTCTCATCCTCGAGATATGTGTTCTCGACTTCAAAGTGGTTGTCACTTTAAATCGGGTAAACATAAACATAAAACCATGCGAAACATGTTCACTCTCTTAAATGTGTCCATAAGAAATAAAACACGAGAATCACTCCGCGTTAATGAATAGCTTAGCGTTGCTTTACGTATTGCATTCCATTCGTAGTACCGTAGAGGTTTGAGGCATCTAATGATTTGTTGTTGCTTACCGATATTATAAATTGGTGTTGTTATCCCACCACTTGGATTTGGTATCAATTTGTCGACACCGGAGGAATGGAAAGCATGATACGCCCAGGTGCTAGAGAGAACAAACAACTCTCTTTCTATTGAAAGACACCTCTAACCAATTCGCTGCACTATGTGCTTATGAGAGATAGTAGATCGATAGTTCAAACATGAACTGTCGAATAATTCAAATATTATCCACGTTTGTGAGTGGAGTGAAAAAATTCTACCCACCGCAGCTGAAGCCAGTGCCCTGTGAAATGAATGAGTCGGACACCGAATTCATTCTTAAGCTGAAAACAACAATAAAGAGTGTCTAAGAGTTTAAAAATGGATGATCCACATCATTTCTCGTTTCCACGCTGAGATAATCATCTGTTTTTTGTGACTAATGCATTAAGATTGGATTACGGTATTTATTAACTGTTAGTGGGCGCGTGTCACGCAATAGTCGGAAAAGTTTTGCAGTACCCATTGGATGATCAATACTGGCGCCCATGACTCACCAAGCCTTCCATCCCTCCAATCCCTCCTAGGTGGGCAAATTGGTGCCAGACTTGCCTGGGTGATAACGTCACTGGCTCGATACATCGGTAGGCCGCCGTGAGTTATTGTATTATTGTAAAGGATTCATGAATGTGCATTCAGTCACCTCCAACGATACCTGACGAAGTCGAATGCATGACACATCCCCCAGAGATTGGTCAACACTGAAAGCCTTTATCCTTTAACTAACTTCTAGTAGGACGTTGTTATATATGTACTAAAATTAAAAACAATTCTATGAGGCACCTGTTGGGATAAGGCTTACACATACATATGGTGGGCTTGTTCGTTTAAACACAATCACTCTTCTTTTGTTCACAAGCTGTGAACCAGCCCACTCTCGAACCATGACCAACTCGTATTTGATAGGATGGGACGCTAAAGTTATCAAACATGGGTACTGACTCATATAGGTGAATTCATGTTGATGACATCAAAATATTAGGTTGGTACATATAAGTTGTCCGATTTTATTGTTTTAATTTTTCGCGTATTTTTTTAGATAAATTTTTTCTCTTTATGTATTTAATATATATTTTTGAAGCACAAGGTCTGCTTTTTCTATACTGGTTTTCTAAAGATTTATTATTTCAACATTTTTATAGGCTTTAACTTTGGTATGAATCAACGTGTTGTCCGTGTCACCTTCTTGTCCGAGTGGAAAAGTGGACATAATGCCGTGGTAGGAGCTCGGAATATCAGTGCTGCGTTTGGAGACCGCTTTGTTAACGAACGCATCATTCGTTATTGGTACATGAAGTTTTGAGTCCGGGGACGAGAGCCGTGCAAACAACGAGCGTCACAGGGCAGAAATTGCGGTTAACGATGAAGCACTTTGTATTCTAGTCGAATCAAATCCACGTCGAACGGTCCGAGAACTTGCGATAGTGTTTGGAGTTGTGCTATGACCATTTCACTGTTACTCACAGTTGATTGATAAAGTTAAAAAATGGACAAATGGGCTCCACACGAACTCAACGAAAAGCAAATAAACTCAACGTCTGGAAATTTGCAATCCGCCACTGATCCGCAACGATAGAGATCCATTTTTGAATCGTTCTATAACTTGCGGTGAAAAGTGGATACGGTGCGGTAATCGGCCCTGTTCAGAACAATGGCTAGACGTCGATGAGAACCCACATCACATGTGTAGATCGAATGTGCATCCAAAAAATACAATGGTTTCCGTTTGGTGGTCAATGGCCGGTGTAATTCATTGCAAATTCTTACGACCTGGCGAAACGATTACGTCAGAGAAATATTGTGCGGAAATCGAAGGCATCAAAATGTACACGTCAAGCAGCCGGCATTGGCCAGTAGAAAAGGAATAGCATTACTTCACGACAACGCAAGACCGCACGTTTCCCAAATGACGTTTTCAGCTTTCTTCGTCATTTTGACATCGAAACTTTACCACATTCGCCTTACCAGATTTGCCGTCAATGGTTATTCATTTTTTAAGCGCATCTGGACCACATTCAGACAGAAAAAATCTTCAACGACCCAACAACTGTTGAAAATGCCTTTAAGGAATCCATCGACACCTGAATGGACAATTTTCAAATCATTGGAATAGCGAAGCTTAACTTTTATCGGAAAAAATGTGCTGATTATAATGCTGCTTATTTCAATTAATAAAAGTTGGTAAGGAAAAAGTTGTGGTTGTTTAAAGTTTACATTTAAAATCGGACATTTTATATGCTACAACTTAATAGAACAGGGTGTTAATCTTGGAGGAATTTTTTACGCCCTCATCGTGGCTGGGAGGTGCTCCTGGGTATCGGGTTGCCAACTACAGCGGGGGATTCACCTCCGACAGGGTCTCCTAAGCTGAGAAGGAGTTCGGCTTTTCCATCAGGAAGCTTAGATAAGAGTAAACCAATAGCAGGAAGATTCACCACCACCCTTGTATCAAACTAGTCGCGTTTTGGCAGTACTCCCTCTGATCCACAAAAGCGACAACTGCCTGTGGTGGTGACGA